GGGTTATAATCAAACTCCTTCTACTATGGCCAGTGAGACGGCTCAGGGGTGAAGGTGCTAGCTGCAAGGCCTGCCAATTTGAGTTTGATCTCTGGTACCTACATGGTAAAGGAGAGAACTGACCCTACCTAATGGTTCTCTGACCTACACTCATGAGTCATACATGACAGGTATATGTGTTTGTACAAATTGGAGTTGATGGCGTCTTTAAAAAGGAAAGGGAGGCATTAAGTTGGAAGGAGGAATAAAAAGAGAATATAATCAAAATGCATGGTATAAAATTCTCAAATTATGTATATACTTACATAATATACTGTGTATATATGTATAAAGAAAAATATCTTCAAATTTATATCTATGTAGATATACATACCTATGTCACACACGCTAATAAATAATAAAAAATTTTAAACTTCATTCCTCAATATCTGTGTTAGGTTGAATATAACAACTAACTTCTTCAAATCTTAGTTGCCATGAAAAATAAAAGGAGGAGAGGGGTCCTAAGTAATCTGTCTCCTAGGGCTATCATGAGGACTAGTGGGATGAAAAGAAAGTGTGATTCACAGCAGCCGAGAGACAGAATAGCCTAGGTGCCAATCAACACATGAGCAGTAATGGATAAAAAGATAGGGGTTAAAAATAAGGTATTAAAATAATGGGGGTTTACATGAACAATCGTTTTATTCAACCATAAACCAATGAAATCGTGCCAGTTGTAGAAAAATGGATAAAACTAGACGTTGTCATGTTAATCAAAACAAGTCAGCCTCAAAAAACAACCAACCCGTCTGTCTGTCTGCCTGTCTGTCCGACCGTCTGTCCGGGTACTTGAAGTCATTTTTTTTGCTTTTAAAATTATATACACGTGTGGGTGTGTGTAGGTTTGCCCTCCTGAGTACCGGCTGTGTGACAAGAAGAAGGTATTGGACTTCTGTAGCTAGAATTCTAATATAGGTGCTGGGAACCGAACTTGGGTCTCTACAAGAGCAATGCTTTCACTTTCAACCACTGAGCCCAAAGGGAGACTACATAGGAAGAGGAAGAGAACCAACTGGAGAGAGAATAGGGATGAGAGTACATGTCTGTGCGCATGCGAGCCAGCAAAGTATATAATATACTCAGAAAATGTTATTATGGAGCTCATTTTTTATGAACTAACTTATGCTAGGAAATAAAAAGCAGTTAATGCAGTATCTGACAGGTAGAAAACACTCTGTGAGTTGGCTACCCCTGTAACATGATTCTTAGATTTATCTGGTCCCTACCAAACATGAAGAATGAAGAGCAGGCATGGTGGACATGTCAGCACTCACAGGCAGGAAGATTCTCAACTTCAGACCATCTAAGTGCCATAGTGGGTCCAAGAAAGGTATGGGTTACATGAGACCCAGCCTCAAAAATAGGAAGGAAGGAAGGGAGGAAAGGAGGAAGGGAGGGAGGGAGGGAGGGAGGGAGGGAGGGAGGGAAGTGATTAAAAAGAAGACAGAAAAACAGAATGAATAAATGAAGGATAGTCTGGGGCAAGCACCATGGAATTTAATGTCTTTAGCAGACTTGCTGTATATGCATTTTTGGCAGTTCTTTGGATGAACCCAGTGTCTCGGGCATACCAGACAAGGGCTTTTCCACTGAGCCACACCATTCACTCCTATCTTTTTGATTATATGTGAAGGGATATTTTCTTCCTGCTTTTGGCCCTCTTATTTAGATAAAGTAAACTTCAGCCCTATGCTTCAGTGCCTGGCATAGGACACATGCCAGTGACAACAGATTGTTTTCATAGAAGGTATATGACTCAAATCGGACCAACAGGAGCACCACAGCCTGCACTGTGGTGGCATGATCATGGTCCAAGTCTACTTCTCTCTGTCTGACTCTCTGACTCACTCACTCACTCACTCACTCACTCACTCACTCACTCACTCACTCACTTGCTATTTCCTCTCTCTTCTGCCCTCCTCCAGGAAGACAAGCCTGGAGCTGCTAGTGGCCATCTTTGTCAGCCAGAGAACAGCTTCTAATTAGGGAGGTAACAGTAGCATACAGCATGGGATGAAGAGAAAGGAGCCCAAGGCCCTTTAAGCCAGCGACTTGCATGGACTGTCAGTGATACCTGCTGACTTTCAGCTAAGCCTCTCAGTAATTTGTCACTTTCATTCAAGAGGCTCTCTCCTCTCGGCCAGGCTTCTCCCAGGGCTCTATTTTCTACATATCAAATCCAAGATCTCTTGGTTCAAATAGCTCTTGCAACCCACAACAGGATACCGCATTATGGATGGGGTGCCCATGGAGAACACTTCCATATCTCAGGCACTTCCAGAATCCCTGGGTAGCATCCTGCCAGGTGACTCTAACAAATCAACAAGCTCCATGGCCGACACTAAAGAGGCACATCAACGTTGCAAAGCAATTGGGTGAGGAGAAGAGGCATGCTGGAGCTGGACACTTGGTTCTCGTTGCACAAGAAGGGATTGCTGGCATGACCCGTCTGTCTTGTGGGGTGTTGGTGTTCTTGTGTGTCAAGCAAGTGAAACCAATCTCCAAGATCTGTTTTCAGTTCTAACATTCCAGAAGCTTCTATTACTCCAGGACCTCTCTCCATTATGCATGCTGTGGGATAATTAGTTACAATTCTCATATTTATCTGCTTCCTTCTGTTTCAGCTTTAAAAATACTCTATCAGACTCTCAATTTCTGTATTCCAAGTACTTATTTCTCCTCCAATTTCCTTCTAAGAAAACATTTATTTATGTAGTTGGACATAATGATCCCATTTTCTTCCCATTTCTATATTTTTAAATCTAATTAGGGTGATAAGTTCCTCGAGAGTTGAAGCTAGGGTTTTCCTGTGAGTGTAAACATTATTATTTTTTTTAATTGCCAACTAAGCTGCCCATTTTGACAGGGAAGCAGGATATGGGTTTTAAGTAATGTAAGCAGGAAATGGCTTTTCAGCCCACATAAAGAAAGAACAAAACTACTAATTTTTTCCAAGTTCATATCTGACTTACTCATTTATAACCTTCATCAAAATTGAAGTTCTCCCATAAGCATGCCCGTGATCTCCATGTTGACAGGAGCATCAGATGTTCCGTCAAGTCTCACCCAGGTAGATAACATGGCATGGTGTCAGACAAAAAACCAAAACCCACAACATCAGGTGACCCTCCTGGGATCACTTTTGGAAATAACATGGTCATTTCAGATCAGCAGGCTTTTCCCAGCAGGGGTGAAAGGTCAGCCCTAAGATAATTGAACATCAGCTTCCCAGCTCCATGTTTCTTGCTCTGTATAATGCTCACCCAGGAGTTTAGAGAGATCAAGTAACTAGATAATAAGTGGCCACAATGATCTGTCCTCTGCAGACAGAGGGATGGTCCACACACAACCCTTCTTATTGGCTGCCTACCTCAGGCTTGTTCCTAGGGACTCTATGCATGAACAGGACTTCAGCTCCAAAGGCCATAAAGGGCACCTCTTGGTAAACATAATTGAATAATGTGGAGGCAGAGGTCATAGGGTTGGTTGGCACCGTAGATGGCGGCTGTAGTCAGAAGCTTGCTTTCTGTCACCTGGTTTTCCATTAGAAGACCCAGTTTGTCCTGCAGATGACTTCTTGTGCTCACTTGATTTCTTGTCCACATGTATTGGAAAGGAGAGCACATCTGTCCCAATGTTCTAAGGACCAGTTTTGAATTGTCTCTCTTGAGACTGGCCTAGATGCATTCAGTGAACCCGGCACTGTGGCTGAAATGAACAGCCAGCTGGCATAAGATTAACTTAAGCCCCTTCCTGAAGAGTACAACCCCATGCAATGAGGCAAGGGGAAGGTTCAGGAACAGTGCTCAGAAGGGAGTGTGTGTCTACTTAGGAACAGCTATTGCACTCGCTGGGCATTGGCAGCAGAAGCCAGGTGCCACTGCCATAGTGCCTCTAGCCACCAGGGCTCTCTTTTCTTGGCCCAGGCTTCTTAAGGTGCCGCTTCCTGGATTTAATCTCCAACAAAAGTCCTTGGTTCACAGCATAACTCTTCTCACACAGAGTAAAATCATGGATGGGTATTCTTCTTGTCCTGCATTCTTGGAGGACAAAGGTACCTCCAGGCTCCCTGGTTAGCAAAATGAGCCTACAACATATCCTGAGGTGGTAGATGAATGAAGAAGTGTCAATGCCATCCATGCCTCACCTGAGACAAACTTCTGTGACATCTTGGGCCTGCTTCTTGGGTCATTCACCGGGGACACACATACCTATGGATTTTTTTAGGCCTACTACCCAAGCCGTTTACCTGAGACACCTCCCTATGATGCTTCAGTCCTGATGGGTGAACCATTTACCATCATATTCTTCTCTACGTAGAAGCATCGAGAAGAAAATATAAATAATGAAAAAAATCTTTATAACATCTGTCTGTATTAACTCATCTAAAATCAACTCTACTTAAACATATCAGATGATTATGACTCAATAAGGAATTTTCAATTTATTTAAGTATTTGTGCTATTCTTGTTGGGAAGGGATGGATTAGAAGAGAAAAGCTAGCTCAACTTGAGAAAAGTGCCAGTGTCCCCAGTACACAAATATTCCTTCTAAAACAAGTGTATACCATGTCTCCCATCTACAAACAGGCAATTTCTACTTTCACAAGTATTATCACCTTTCATCTCATTCATCCCCATGTTACAAATCCCTTCTTCCCACTGTCAAGATGAGGATACAGTGCGAGGCTGCACTGACCGTCAGCTCTAGAGCCCCATAGAGTCAAAGACCCCTTTTGGAATTTGCAGCCACAATGCCTATGACTTGGTTTTCAGTAACTATCATTCAGGTTTATCTTTACCGTTGTTTCATTTTCATGTCATCTCTGTTTATGCCTGGCCATGGCAGCATGCCATTACTGTCACATCTGGATGGTCCATGTTAACATTTGATTTGATCTTAGGAGCTGAGCAAATATGGTCATGCATAAGGTAAACAATGTTTGAGGTTCCACTTACACTCTTTGGACATTCCCACTTCAAAGCACTTCTGTAGGCGGCAGTACTGGCATCGATTCCTAGTGACCTTGTTAATAACACAGTTCTTATCTCGGTGGCAAGTGTAGATCATGTTCTTCTGAATACTTCGGCGGAAAAAGCCCTGCAAGCAAGAAGATGAGGAGATAAACACCTAGTTCCACTAGAGACAAAAACCATCTTAGGATGCACCCTTGGACTCAGCCTACTGATAATGGGATGGCTGCAAAAACCGAACTGAAAACCTCAAACCTCAAATCTAGAGAAATGGTTCAGCAGCTAAAAGCATTTTTTGTTCTTGCAGAGGACACAGGTTCTGTGCCCAGCACTCACACTTGAAGCTCACAACTTCCTGTGGTTCCAAACGGACTCTGACACCCTCTTTTTACCTCGTTTTTACTCCCAATGACCATTTTAGTCAAAACTAGAGATGACTTTCAGTGTCTTACTAAAATGAATACTGTGTTGATATGCTTGGGAAACATGAGACAGAACTAGAACCCATGCCAGCTTAGAGTATCTGATTCTTTGGCTAGCCAGAACAGCTTCAGGAACCCACTGCTAAGGAAGCCCAGGAAGGAAGCATAACATTTGCCAAAGACACTGCAAGAGTTTGGAACTTCTGAGGAGTCTTCTGCCAGACTGATTTTGTATTTAGCTACATATTATAACCGTTTAGATAATGTTTAATACCCCAAACTGAAAACAAGGCAGAAAAATGGACTCAGCTCATTTATGTTAGTGAAGAATGACCCTGTTTAGCACAGCAGACACCCTTTTCTCTATAAAGCGTGTAGAAAGCTACAGATTTTTTTAAAAGTCTGGCTTGGGCACAGAGAATTTCTGCCAAAGAAAAAATAATCCTTGGGAATATTGTTTTGTTGCCTTGTAGGGGACATCAATGAACTCTGCATCTAATTTGGCAATCACTTATTTTTTGCTTTCATCCTGCATGTCTGTGTGTCTATATACTCATTTTCTGTCTGTCTGTCTATCTATCTATCTATCTATCTATCTATCTATCTATCTATCTATCTATCTACTTACTTACCTGCCATCTCATCTATCTACATTCCCTCATGTTGTCCTTTGAGCCAGCTGTGCATCTACTCCTCTCATCAATAAATTAAAGAAAGTTTTATTTGATTTTATTTACATGTGTTTTCTGAGTGTGTTGTCATTATTTTTTTAACTTCTTGAGAATACTTCGATAAAATCAGCAATACATCCCAAATTGTGAGAAACACACATGAAATGAAGCAAACTTAAGGCTCAAAAATAAGGGCCCCCCGCCACTTACTACCAGACAGCTCTGCAGACATGGTTAATGAAGTGCTGCTTGCACAAATCCACATAAGGAAGTAGCAGGTGATAAACACTTGCCTGCTAGCTTCATTCTCTTCTAATTGCCTGATGGAGAACCGCTGCTTTGTGTATAAAAGCATGGAGCTCTACCCTAGCTGGTGCAGTTGGATTTACAACCACTCTCCACAGCATTCTCTTGAATGCAAGAAGTAAGGAAGTATGTTAAACAGAGCACAAGTCTTCCCATGTGAGCACAACCCTGCCTGCAGTAGGTACTACCGTGGGAGCCTGACTAACAGTTGCCAGTGCTCAACCGTGAGCCAAGAACACTCATGGAATGCATGTTGTTTAGGATTTTCACACAGGTGCCCTAGGATTCTAGAGTCTAAATAAACACGTTGTAACTGGCATGGTTTTACTATAAGAGCCTGGAAATCTGGTTTAAGGCTGCCTTGCCGTCAGTAGCCCAGACACACATTTTCCAAGAAAACATTGTTTATTTTTCTATCTCCGGTACTACAAGAATGCTCAGAATCTAAAACAGCAGGTTACAAGTGTCTTGGGACCTGAGAATTGTGTGCTTCTGTGTCAGAATACTGCACAGTACCCTTAGTTCTCAGGGGGACCAACTCAACATTAAAAAAAAAATTATTGCTCCTTGCCCAAGAAGAACATGGTGGAAGGAGATAGATAGTCTCTGTGTGTGAGAGGAACAAAAGAGGCAGGGAGACACAGGTGCCCTTTTCATTTATTAAAAGTTCAGCAAATTTTTAGTGACTGTGGAGTACAGAAAAACAACAGGGTGATATTTAAGGGAAATAAGAGAGAACTAATGAACTTTATACATCACTAATTACCCGTCAGTGTGGTTCAGAAACTAAATAGGACTGCTTGGTTTTCAAGATCAGACTTTGGCAGGGTGTCAGCAAGTCTCAGTTTCAGGAAATCATTCCCAGCATGGCAGAACCCTCGCTGACTATGATACATGCTGAGAGGTATTTTGATCTGTGTGTTGGGTAAACAGAGACTGTCTGTGATTCATATGGAGTTTTGTGTCACCCACATCTTTGTCTTTCTTCACTGACATCCTGAGTTGTGGCAGAAACCTTAGCCCCTCTACAAACCTCAGCTTCTAGGACTGTGTGTGGATGAGGAGGGGGACAGAGGCCCACGCCACAGATGCTTCAATGTTTTCATATAGGATGACCTCCTGCTTGCTATTTAAGATGGACTTGTTTTTATCTCTGGGCTGCTTGAGAAGCCTGCACCATAAACATAGAAGATCCAATGAGTAAATGTTCAGATGGAATCTCATGCCCCATGGAGAATAAACCTGTGGAAGGTGTGGAGCCCTGGGCCACCCCATTCCTTGCTGAGATGAATCTGAGTGAATACCAGGGGCACAGCAACATTTAATGATTTTTTTTGAGGAATTCTGAGTTAACTCGTATGCCTTATTATCATATAATTCAATATATATATAGATATATATAGATAGATAGATAATTATATCTATATATATATTGCCATATATGTTAGCCATATATATGTCTGACTCAAAATGAAAGCCTCTTATGATTGGACTTGGATGTAAAAATGGGCTTTAGAAGTCCACATATAACAGTTCTTGAAAGTAGTTGGTAGACACCTATAAAGCAAAGACTAAAAGGCTGAATATGAGAAGACCGAAGAGCTGGTTGCATCTGGAGAAAGAGAAAAAGTGTAGCTGGTCTTTGCTACTTGTGGGTTCTTCTTTTTGCCACCCTTTACCCCCTGCCTTTCATCCCCTAACACTAGATAGAAGAGAAACAAGGATAGAGGGGAGAGAGGAAATACGAAAACTCCTGAATCTAATTTCTTTCCATTTGTTTCTTCTTTGACATGGATACTAGCAAACCACAACCAATTTGTGACCAACAACCATCAACCCTGCCTCTCAGGGTCCTAGCATTTTATACTCTCTGAAAAATTCCCAGAATTACAAATGTCACACAATTTCAGAAATTGTCTGTAGTGGGCAAAACCATGCCTCTGCTAGAGCATGAGGCAAATCATAGTCAGTTGCTGCAGACAGTCTGTAGTAGACCCATATCGCCATACCTGGGGTTAAAATGAAAACATATTCTTAAAATATTTTCAGAATTATCACTACAGAAGAGAGGTCAGACACAGCAAAGAGAGTGCCCTGCCTTGGAGTTAAGCCCTTGCCAGTAGCCTCTTCACTGTTCCTGTGCCCTAAGCAAGTCACAGCCTTGTACAGTTGAGCTCTCAGCTCCTTAATCAGGGACTGAAGGATGTCTTCTCTAGCTGTCCAGTCCTGGGTTACAAATGCAACACTATACCAGAGAGTGAGAACCAGGGATGGCCAAGAAAGAGGTAGTGTCAGAAGACTGAGGAAAGAGACATCTTCCACCTGAATGGGCAGGAGTGGTTGTTTTCTATACTAACTAGAAGCTTAAAGGACACCAAGGACTGAAATGGCATTTATGGTCACCTCGGAGTCATGACAAGGTCTCTAGGGAATATCTATGGCTGCTTAAAGTTGGAACCCTATTGTAGTGCCCCAGGGCTTGTGGCTGAGGACCCAGGTGTTTGACCCCCAGGTCTCATATTTGTAAAGTCGCTCTCTGCAGACCTCTTAGGGAGCTTCCATGGGTGGCTCATCAACAAAGCCTTTGTTACTGATATACACAAGGGTGCTTCCTCTCCTAGTAGCTTTGGTATTTCTTCTCGTACGCTTCATTCACTCAAGGGCAGTTAAAGCATTAAGTGATAGCATTATCTGCTTTCAAGGTTACATGGATAACATGAGAATTACCAGACTGTGGCCATGGTTACAGCCCATGGACCCCACAGACATAATGAATTTTTCCATTATGGGGCTTCAGGACCACCAGCCTTTCTGGTACCCACATCTCTCTGCTACTGATAAAAGACAGGCAGAGAGGCTGGCTCCCGTAAGTACAGCAAACACAGTGGTGTCATCACAATGTCCACTGAAGCTTCCTGGAATGAGGACAGTGGATTGGATGTGGTGAGAGAGAAAGTCAAGGAAACAGCTATTCAATACCTAGAAGGCTGGCATATGCCAGGGCTAAGGGAGACTCTGACACATAGTAGACAGTCAGTAAATAACTGTTGAATGAATGATGACATTCAAATTATAACCAGGGCCTGTAGGATAGTTTTAATTCACACCTCAGTTCATTTAATGTATGTACCCATTAAGTGTATTTCTTAAGGTGGTATTACTTGAACTTACGAAGGTGAATCACAACATTTCTCACAACGAAAATCTTGCGGGTAAATGAGTGGGAATCAGCTTTGCCAGTGGGGATTTCTGTTGGTGAGTCCTGACTTGTGTCAACCATGGTTCTTGTTGGCCATTTCTGGTGTTTTTAAGTCAGATTGACTTCTGTTGAGTGTTTATCATTTTCAATGGACAATCACAGCTTCTATTGATTAGCCATGATTTTACTCACTGGCATTCTGTTGTCCAGAGAGTGAAAGCTGGCAATACAAAGAACACTCATTTTTGGCTCAAGCACGCGTACCAGCATTTCCAACAAGACTCTATAGTGTTTTCTATCTGTCGAGTTCCCAACTGCTCTTACCTCATGTGTATCAAATCTTGCCAGGATCTCCATGAAGGGTGGAAAAGACCAGGGATTCATGGTAGAGCCATGTGGCTCCTTTATTAGCCATAGTAGGGAGTACTCCCAACCTGCTCAGACTATTCCTGTCTCATCTGGGGGCTATGACAGATCATTGCTCTGACTCACTTCCTATTAACATCAGTGCAGAAACTATCTTAAAACA